CACACCATTACCTGTCTGCCAGGCCCTGCCCATGGGCTGGGTTTAAAGCCCTTGTGGGTTTAGGACCCCTTCCCAGGGCCATGTTTCCATCTGGGGCTGGCCTGGTGCTCATGGGCAGCACGGGGAAGGCAGTCCTGTGCTTTGTATCGCCAGCACTGCTGCACCGGGAACGTGACTGCAGGGAGGTGACGGCTAATTGCTGCAGCGAGTCAAGGACTGTTTAAGCAGCTAATTAATTCCTCCTAATCAGCCCTTGATCTGTTGAAAACTGCATGGCATTATCTCCTCTGCTGCAACACCTTGATAATTCCTGTCTGAATGGCCTTCACGGAGAACATATTTAAATAAACTCAATAGAGATTTCAGACAGATAGCAACTATAATTACCAGCTTGTACAAATTAAAACCGTGGTTTGTTCTGTTCTTTTTCTCCTGCCTTCGCTGCCCAGAGCTTCTACTAATCATGTTCCTGCTGCCAGTGGCACGCCAGTCCCCCGGGCATTTTCTGCACATGCCTTCGGAAAGCCCGTGCCGGTGCCTGGTGCCGGAGTGTGCCGATGTTTCGGATGAGCCTGCACATGGGCACATGCCAGCCTTGGCTGGTGTTTTTCCTGTGCTAGGGGCTCACTGCTGTGCAGGGGAGCTGCAGGAGCAGCCCCCCCACACCCCTCAGGGTTGCCATGCGCTGTCCTCCCCAGGACCAGTCCTGCAGTTCCCCCCCCCCCGTCTCTCCTAAGGTTTGCAACCTCCTGGAAATATAGAGTTTTTCTCACCTGGGAGGGGCACAAGCACTCAGACATTGGCCTTCAGTGGCCACAGGAGCCCAGGCTGGAGCTTTCAGTCATGGTGTTCAACTGTAGGTGTGGTAGGTGCTTCCCTACATCACTTTGGCAGTGGATTGCCTGCACTGAGCGCTGCTGGCTGCAGCAGGGCTTGAGCACACTTCGTTAGGAGGGGTAAGGTCAGGCCACACTCATTTCCTTCATGGTCACTTGGGACAGCAAGAAGAGCTGGCTCCTCTGGCATTTGGCAAAGGTCAGCCAGCCCTGGTGCTTGCATTTCCATTCCAGCTCGCTCTGCTTCCCTGCCTGCTCCTGGGAGCACCAGAGCCACAGTCTGGATGCTCAGGTCTATCTTTTAGATAGCAGAGAGAAGAGAATGTTGCTATGCTTTAATGAGGGATTACAGCGAATCAGAAAGCAAAAATGGATTTTTAATGACAGGAACAGGTCGGTGCCTCTGGTCCTCGTAGGTGAAATCAGGGTAATATCAAGTTTCCTGCCCATTCAGCATGTTGTGAGCCAACTGGGGCACATCTTCCACCGGGGGAGGTGCTCTTTGACCCATACTTGGACAATGAATATTTTTATGCCAACAATTTGACCAGGGCTGGAGCATCCCTAGAAGTGCGCAGAGCATCTCCCCAGATAGACCCAGGATTTTGCACATCCCCTCTACCCTGCTCCTGGGAGAGCTGGGAAGCAGGCACTGACCTTAACCCTTCAGTGCCTCAGTTTTCCTTGGTTGAAGGGAGATGCTAATCCATCCCAGCCTCCCAGCAAGGCTAAATTCACTAGCTCCTGCTCGGTTTTCTTCGGATGCCATGGCAATAGGGCAGTGTGAGGACATAAAATGACTGATTTGCATCGAGATGCAAAATGTCCCTTTGTCCTGAGCCTTTGGGTTATCTGGTTTCGTTGCCCATTTCTGGGGCGAGCCAGATTTAGCAGTGGAATCACATGGAAGAGCACAAAGGCTCTAATTCAGAGCTGGGACTGAGCAATTAAAATGTAGTGTGTTCCAAAGCCAGGTTCCCTGGATGGCAGACAAAAAGAATCAATTTCCTTCAAACAAATACTAAATATTAATGAGAGGCCGTGGTCTGCCATGCACACGGAGCTGGAAAGAGCATTTCCTGTTGATCACTGCAGAGGCAGGTTCATGGGATGAAATTGCTTTTCGAGTGGTTATTTGTGGCCTTTCCCAAGGTGCCTCAGGATGGTTTGCCAGCCTGAAAAAAAAGAAAAGGAAACTCAGAGCATTTCCATTTTCCATCCAGGCAGGCGCTGGGAATGCGTGCTGGAGCTTTCATTTTTGTTTACGCACTTGCCCGGGTGGTTGGGGAGATGGCTGGGATTGGTTACGTAGAAATCAGCCCCGAATTTGCGTCTAGAAGGAAGCAATTCCCTGGGAACATCAGCCAGCTGAGCCTGCCCCCGGAACGGCCTGCCAAAGGCAGAACATGGGACCCAAGAGCATCCCCAGCTTTGCAGCCACATCCGCTTGCTGATTTATTTCAATAATGAGCATTGGGGGAAACATTAAAAAAATGACTTACAGCACTCACCAAGTATCCTAAAGTGAAAGCAGAGGGCTGGGAGCTTTGGAAAAGAAATTTTTTTCTATTGCTTTGACCCTTGGGTGAGTCAGGAAACCTTGTATTAACTCCCTTTCCAAACTTGGAAGAAAAATGAAAAGGCTTCTTTCCCTACCTCGCCAGGACACACAGCTATGGTGTGGGACTTTTCTCCCCAATGCTGTGCTTACCCATGGGCAGCACAGTGCCAGCCTTGGCTGGGAGGGCAAAGAGCACAGCGGGAATGGTCTCAGCCCTGCTCTGTCCCACACAACAGCCATGGAAGCTGCTGGAAGCATTTTGCATCCGTCACGCAGTAAATAATAACATGTCGGCTCATGATTTTATAAAACCATTAAGGCAGCTGCGTAGCCGTGGGTCGATCGGGAGCTAATATTAGCTCGAAATGACTAAAATTAGAAAATTAGAACCAAGCCAGAACTAATTAGTTGTTCAGGGAATAGAACCAGAACCGGAACTAATTAATTGCCACTGAAATATCGCCGCGGGGCGCAGTGGGTGCCGCCGCTTCCAGCTCCGCACCAGCTTTGCTTGGGATGACTCCTGTGTGGGCTCGGAAAGGAGCCCAGAGTCCCATCTGAAGGCTGTGACAGCTAAATAAGAGTTGGCGGCTCAGTCCCAGCTGTGTGGTGCAGCACAGACTGGGCTGTGCTGGGAGCAATCCCATCGCAGCCGAGGCAGCTGCTGCCGGAAGGGCTCGGAAAAGCGTCCCCTCGCCCTGGCTGCCCAGATGTGCCTTTCTAAAGGTGAGGGCAATTACAGTGACCACCTTGAGGGCTCCCAGCAGCACACAAGCTCTTCTCTCTGATCCCAGCAGCTCTGCCTTCTCCTTCAGCTCCAGCTCTGCCGCCACTGTGGTGCTCTGCAAAGCTCTCTTGAGTGAGCCAGGAGCTGCCATCCATGCAAACGCTGCCAGAATAATTTCCAGGGAATTAGGAAGTTGGTACAGATAACTGGCACGTGGCTGCATTTTTCCATCTGTGACTCCGTCACCTGTATGGTCACTTCTTTTTACTTTCCAAAGGTGGTAACTCACCCTATATTTCTTTTTCCTACTCTCTCAGCGCTCAAACAGCAGCTCCGATTTTAGCAGCAGCATGACGCACGGTGTTTTAAATTCAATTTAGAATACAAACTATTTATACCAGCCAGAAAAAGGCAGTGAAGCAGCTCTCTCTGTCATGAGTGGATTTGTAATTTCGGAGCAATCATTGCATAACTAATTGAATCAGCTCTCAGCATGTGAAATCAGTGCCCTGCTTATCAGAGGTTTTCATCGTTCCCCCCTCCTGAAGCCATCAGTCCCCCTCCACCAGCAGCACTTTGTGCTTCTGCAGCAGCCTGGGAAGAAAGCGAGACCTGCAAAGCTGCCTTTTTCTGCTCAAATTGAGCCAATAAATTACCAAATACGTTCAGAGTAGATGAAGAGCTGGGTTGCAGGTGCCCCCAAAAGCTGCCCAGGCTCCATGCGAGGGAGTGAAGTACATTTGAAACTAATCAAGTGCCAGCCGTGTCTGAGAAGCAAATTGGTGCTGAGATGTTCTGCTGACTCCCACTTCCTGCTTCGTTGCCCAGGTGTGCTCTCCTTGGCTGGAATTTTGGGTCTGATGTCTGATCCAAACCTCCGGCTTGGCACCTGAAAATGGAGCCTAAGAGGGGCGATAAATATAGTGACAGCTTTCCAAGGGGTACAGGAAAGGCAGAGAGCAAAGTATTTGTAAGGATTTTTATCAGCTGGGAGTGCAGGGCCTGGATTTGGTGGCTGGGGTGGATCTGGTCCTGCGGATTTTGGGAGCAGCTCCAGCCACCTGCGTGCAGCAGCCTCCTGGGGTTAGAGGGCACTTCCTCATCTGTGGGGCGGTTTGGGCAGGGGCCCATCAGCATCTGCAGAACACAGAGTTGAACCTTGCAGCCAGGGAAGAGTGTGCTGTAAGGGATGTTAATGCCTCCTCGGGGATGCTGCCTGTGTACATGTGGGTCCCAGGCTGTCACTGCTGCACTGGGATGGGTGAGGAGGGCAGATGAGCCCTAATGGCTACAATTGCTGAGTGCTAATGAAGGCCAGGCTGGTTCAGCTGGTACAAATGGAAGCAGTTCTCTGGGCAAGGCTGGCAGATCTTGTCTTGGGCAAGCTTGAGGGAGCGCTTGCAAATTTTCTGGATGTGCAGAGCGAAGGGTTCTTCCCAGGGTCAGGTGTGATCCCTGAGACCGAGACTGGACATAGGAGGTGATACATCCCAGAAAATGAGAGCTGGGTCTCCCTGTGGTGCATCCCCTCAGGGATCCGTTTTCCTTCTTAGCAATGCTCTCAGCCTTGTTGAATGCGTCATATTCCCCAAAACTAATTTTTTTCCATCAGCCCATGCCTTGATGCTGCTGGCTGACCTGGTGTACAAGGGCATATGCAATGCAAGCAGGGTCTGGCATGGGTAGGAGAAGGAGCTTTCATCCCCAGGCTTGGTTCAAGGCATGTCCCATCGGTGGCCTCCACTTGCTTCTTGCACAAAGCCACACAGACAAAGTGTCCCGAACATGTGAGGCCAAGGCTGTGGGATTCGGGCTCCTGGGGCAGCATGTGCCAGGCATCCCCAACCACCCACTTTGTTTTCTGTTGTCTCTCCAGGTGGCCAGATTGGAGCACAAAACACGAGTGTTCAGCCGAGTCTTCGGCTCTGCACATGCTGCCTGTTACTGCCTGGGTGCCGTGATCCTGCTGCTGAACTGTGTGCGGAGCCACTGGTAAGGAACTCACCCTGCTGGCCTGTACCATGGAAAGAAATGCCCCGATAGAGTGGGGGAGATGAGGGATATTCGGCTCTGCAGTGCCGAATCCAGCCCCAGTGCATTGCTTTTCCATGGTTGGATAACTCCAGCCAGCAGCAGATTTATTCCAGGGTTTGTAATAAAGACAAGGGATGTGGCAGGATGGCCAAACCCATCAGTTTCACCAGCCATTGAGTGTCACAGGTTTCCTTGCTCTGCTCCCTGGGGATGTTTCCTCTCCCCTCTGAGCAGCCCAGCTGACAGGAGGGCTGTTTGCACAGGATGGATCATATGTAACAGCAGGATTTTTTTAATTTTCTCATAAAAATCATAAACAAAATTAAAGCTGCTTTTAAGAAGCCGCAGTTTCCTGTGCAGAAGAGCAGGATTACCTGTGCACTTAGCAAACAGTCTCTTGAAACTCTTATCTGCCATCTCTAAACACTACCTGGGCTTGCTAATAGTATTGTATGGCTGATACACCGTACACCGTGGGAATACGTCCTTTAGCGTTCCCAGTGCAGCAGAGAGGTTTTACTGCAGAAGATTTCCTCAATGCCAGCAATTTATCTGTGATCTGGTAGGCTTTATCTTCACTGCTGTTAGTCGAGACAGACTCACTAAATTCCCAGATTCAATTATACCAGGGTCAGAGCTAATGGGTTGTTTAGTACTCTGGGTAATTTCCCAGGCGCAGAGATCTCTGGTTGGAATTTGCACATGTATTTAAGAGCTATGCCTTCCTGGAAATGACACCAGGACCTGCCCTTGCCCTTCTGTGTTTGTCCCAGCTACTGCTGATTGCAGAAACTGTAAGAAAGCTTGCAGTGAACAGGTCTGTAATCGAATGCAGGCAATTCAGAGGGCATGTGTGTGTGCTGCTGATGTCTCAGTGACACAGAGAGCTTGGATTTCGCTGGGGAATGTCTCAACAGTCTCTTGCACAAATTACATAGTCATTTGTTGTCTGGGAAGCAATGCAAAGCCTTGTCCCTGCCTTTAATTAAAAACATGGGTGATGGAAGGACAGTCTCCATTCCTGCTGGCTCCTGGGTCAGTGAGGCTCGCTGGGTCACTGACAAGACACTGACTGGGAACTGCTGGGAGAGCCAAAGGGGCGTCGTCTGTCCCATCACTGTGTCCCACATTCCCCCCGTAGAGCCCTCAGAGCCCCACCAGGGCTGGCATCACTGGCTCTGCTCTGTCATGAGCCTGTAGACTCACTGAGTTTGGCTCTGCCTGCACAGCACAGCAGTCGGGCCCTGAAGAAACAACAAGATCAATTCAGGGGGCTGGAAAAGCCCCGTCTGGACCTTAGTTTTGGAGGAGAAAAGATGGGGCAGCTCACCCCTAGCAGAACACAGATGAGATGCCAGCCCACCACAATGGGCCAAAGCCTTTCAGATCACTGCAATGGGAAGTTGATTTTGCCCAGATGTTTCGACATATTTGGGTTATTCTCTCGCCTTTTCTTGGCACTGAAGTTGGCCTGAGTGACGGCTAGCAGGCTTTGGAGGCTGTTCAAGCAAGGCAAGCTCTTAACTGTGGGAGTAATGGGACAGTTTCAGGGGGGTCATCAGAGCAGCAACTTCTGGAGTTATCCCAAAACACACCTGGGAGACCTGCTGCCTTCATTCCCAGCCCAGCGAGCCCTCCAAGGCTTACTGCTCAAGCCTGGAGAGCTTTTGCTTCCTGGGAAGATTCGTCCTGTCCCTTAAGGCACTTGCATGAAGATACCAGCCAGGTGCCAAGTGGGGTTCAGCTGACCAGAGGGGTTTTGCACCACACAGGCACCGTCATCTCAGTGCCCAGGGACACTGGAAGGGACACGTCTCACCCGCTCTTGCTCTTTTGTTTTTCCCTTCATTTTATTCTCTGAGTCACTTGTACTGGGCGTGCTGGTGGGAGCAGGTTTGCTGCTCCTCAGCCCCATGGAAGCTGTGCTTCACATAATGGTCGGGATTGCTCGTGCAGAGCATGCGGGCTGCTGATAGAGAGCAAAAAGGCAGCCTCGGGGGTCCCTCCACCCCCAGTGCTGTAATCCAGCCTTTAAAACTCCTCTCTGCCTCCTCTGGGGACTTGTTACGTGGGTGGAGGCTGCCAGGGAGTGATGAGGAGCCCAGGGGATGTCTCTTTTGGTTTTAAAAACCTGCTTCCTTTTCGCAACTGAATTTTTGAAAGGCTCCAGGCTGGGGGCGGAGGAGGGGAGGGCAGAGCAGACAGAAACTTCGGGAGTGGGTTGGAATTTCGACTGACAGCACCCGGGAGCTGGGCTGTGTGGCTGCTTCACCGCCCACCCCACGCGGGGTCTGTGCCATGGTCCTGTCCACAGCTGGACATGATGCTCTCATGCCAATTTGGCTCCAAAGGGATGCCTTGCGTGTAAGAAGAGGGATATCTTTGTGCTCAGTTAAGCAATTAGGTGCTTCCCAGCTCTGAGCTTCATTATCAGCTTGCAATCTTGGCTTGCAATTTGGAGTGACCTGTGACCAGGTGGGACCTGCCTAGTCAAGTGCACAAGACAAGCATCCCTAATTGCGTTGGTGCAATGATTATTTTCATTACAGCCTTTTCTTTCTGCAAGAAGCAGGGAACTTCCATCGCTGAGACTCTTATCTGTGAAAACAATTCCTGAACTTCTGAACCATCTGCACCACGTGCGCTGGCCCGGCGGTTTGTGACTGTTATCTGTGTGACATGGGACGTGACAACCTTCACTGTCCTCCAGACTTGCATCCAGTCTCGGTCTCTCTTCCCTCACCACCTTGTTGATATCTTTCCCTGCATCAGCTCTATAATTAGTTGCTGGTGCTGCCTCTGAGCCCTTCAGTGCTGCTTTTGGCACACATTGGCACACTGCCCACCTCAGGGCAGGTACATGGGAACTTCTGAGCTTCAGGTCTTGGGATGTTTCCTTGAGCTTAAAGGCAGCACCCATGTGCACACCCTGACAGGGGGCTGCAGGGGGTTGGGGTACCCAGGGCTGTGATGTCTCAGTGGGAGTAAATCCCAAAGAGGCAGTGCCACTGGCAACATGTTCAGTGGTACCACACTGCTTGTTGGCAGTACATATTGCCTCCTGTGTGGATTTCTCACTTGAAGGTGACACTTCCAGGAAAATAAATCCACCTTGGGATGGGGTTTTGTCCAGGAAAGGGACTGTTTGTCATTGCCAGGTAGTGCCTCTCATGAATGAGCGTGCCGTAAACGGCATCAATCCCAGAACCATGTGGCCCTGTGTGCAGAAATGACCAAATTTGATGATGGGAATCGAGCTGGAGCTGATGCCCCTCCGAGCCACGCTGCTGGCAATCTCTGATGGCTGTTTGGGAAAAGCCCCGGGCGGCCGACGGCACCTCCTGCCCACGGCATCCGCATGAGGAAACCAGGCAGCTGAGATGTGAGGCGGGGGGAGAAGCTGCCACAGCCCCCAACTGACCGAAATAACACACACACACCAGTGCTGTCAGAAAAGCAAAGTCATTATTGGCAAAAGAAGCTGTGAAGATGATGGCTGGGCTGACAATTGCCGGTGGTATCGGCAGGACGATTTCAGTGTTGTCGAGGTTGCTGTTTTCAAATGAACAAGATCTTTTGTTGCAGCGTGTGCTGCTGGGCACTACCGGGTGGTTTTTATCCCCATTGCCTCCTTTAGCTGAGAGGAACAAAACCTCAGGTGTGGGGATGAACCGAAATCCCGCACGGTGACTGTGGCACCTTGCAGTGGTGGCTGTTGTCACTGAAATCCTGGTCGCCTGCACCACCGCTGCTTCCTTGCTGCCTGCTGGCCCCTGGCCCAATTCTGCCCCAATTGCTCTTGCTAGCCCCAGTTTCCAGGCTGATTTTTGGGATCATGCAAGGAAGCACTGCTGGGCTGCTCCCCGCAGCGACCCAGTTTGCTGGATGAGGTCTTTGTCCTCCTTTGCAGGAGAGGGATGACAAAATACATTTGCTGGGGGCCACCGAGAGAGGCCCCCAGCAAGACCTAAAAAGCTCAGCTTCTTTCTTAGTACAGTATTTCCAGGCTTTCTTCTTCATGTGGCCTTTGGGGATGTGTTTTGGGCTTGGTTTGTTCAGTTTTCTGGTTGAATAAATCAGTGCCTGTGTATGCAAACCTGGCTGCGGGTCCTGTCAGTGTCCCAGCCAGAGGATCTGCTGCCGATTTCCTTCGCTCCCCACTGTCTTCCTGGGATCCCACCAGCATAACTTGCCCATCCCCACATTTCAGAACCATTTTGAGTGGTTTTCCAGTTCATGGGGTTTATTATGTGGTAAACGGGAAGACAAGAGATACAGACTAGATATAAGGAAGAAGTCTTTTATGAGGAAGTGTTTTATGGGGAAACACAGGTTGCCCAGAGCCACTGTGGCTGCCCCATCCCTGGAAGTGTCCAAGGCCAGGTTGGACAGGGCTTGGAGCAATCTGGTCTAGTGGAAGGTGTCCCTGCCCATGGCAGGGGGGTGCAACTGGATGATCTTTAAGGTCCCTTCCAACCCAAACCAGTCTATGATTCCCATGGAGCAGCAATGTAGTGGCTGTGCCTGAGCAAGTGCCTCTCTGTTTTGGGAAGTGTGGGCAGAACAATGCCCGCTTCCCTGGCTGCTCCCATCCTGCCAGGAATTGGCCATATCTGCCAGTTTGGCCAGAGCAGAGTTGATGGATTTGAGCTTCTCCCAGCTGGTGGAGAGTGTGTGGCTCTGGTGTCATGCTTCACACTGACAAGCATGGGAAGATGTCAGGGGATGCCCCATTTCCCCAGTTTCTCTCTTCCAAAGCTGTGGGCACATTCCAGGCCCCTCCCTGGTGGCAGCCATCCTCACGACAGCAGCCAGGTCTGTGATCAAAGTAGGTCGCAGCCCCCCCGCCCCTCCCCTGTGCTGGTACGAGGGATGGATGCTCCTCACCATGGCAATCGCTCTGCTCAGCACATAAAGCAATTCCAGGTACTGGGACAAAGCATGGATTTAATTGATGTCCTCTTGGGTGCTGAGCTGCGCCACTGCCTTGTTGTGCAGCCAGAAATAAATGCTGTAACAAACGTGACTTAGAGGCACATGAAGGAAGGGACTGGCAGCACAACTGGCGCTCTAACAAGGGAAATGCCCCAAACCTTGTCTGTCCCTACCAGGGAGGGAGAAACATAGCCAGGGAGGCTCCCTCACCATCAAGGAGCAGTTGTAGATGCTGGAATAATTGACAACTCTGTGCTGCTTGTCATGGCCCAGCACCCTAAATGCTTAAAAGGTTTATTTACCAATTCTGAAAACTCCTGAGCGCATCATGTTTAATGCAAATAGAGAGTGTGTTTAGGAAGATATAAACCATTCCTAGAGGGAAAGGCAGTCCATTATCTCCGTGCAAACACCTCCTTCTCTAGCTGTAAGCCAAACAGCAGGGAACCGAGTGAGACATGCTGATGAGAATAACTAATGCAGGCCTATCCGACCATGGAAAGGAAGGATGTGATCATCTGGAGCAGGAGAGACAGCTTTGCCAAAACAAACCATACCATGTGCTGGTTACAAAACTTCCAGTGCTGATTCTCAGTCAACCAGTTCATGCTCTTGAAGCCACTTTTGTTCCGTGTTCCAAGACAGAGTCGAGTCACCAGCATCAGATAGAGGAGCCTCAAGGATGTGAGACAGTGTGAGTCCAGCTTATCCAGAGCAAGAAGCCTCCAAGGGCTGTGTTCTCACTGTGTCTCTCTGTACTCTGGCATCTCTTCGCCAGGGCCTGGGATCCAGGCAGATTCCAGCTCGGCACCTGCCTCCCCAGGGATCAGCAGCAGTGACTTTTGATTGCTCTGAGATACTTCCCAGTGCTGCTACCCTCTGGAGAGGTCCTGGCCAGATGTGGAGCCAAACCCCACTGCTGTGAAAGGCATTAGCATCCTCCTCTGTGTGACCAAAGAGCTCCAGAGCATCCCCAGGGATGTCACGGTGTGCTGTGAGTGCACAGGCAGGCCAGGATTCCTCAGGCAGACAGACACATCCCTGCAGGGGGATTGCTTTCCTCCCAAACCCAGGCAGTGCTGGTATCAGGGACGTGGATTTTTTTGGCTTCTTCTTAGAGGAGACTTGTGTCATTTAAAAATAAACACTGGGGAAATGATGCAAAGGGGTGTGCAGCTGCTGCTTCACAGTGCAGCCAGATTTGTGTCTTCCCATCAAAAATGATTTTAAGCTAAGCCAGTGTGAGCCTGGTGATTGCAAGGAGCTGTGCTGGGTGCTGGAGGAGGGCCAGCCTGGAGACACCATTACATCACCTGGGGCCACGTTGTCGTCCTCTGCCTGTGCTTGGCTCCGTGGAAAAGGGAATTTCTCTGTAATTTCCAGAGTGTAAATCACCAAGATGTGTTCTTGCTCACTCCCAGGCATGTTACATTTATTCCGTGTTTTGTTTCCTTGCTTCAGTCCAAACCGAAGATTAAATGTCTTGCTCTGGAGTCCTAAAAACCTCTCAACAATGGAAAGTCTGGTAGGAACAAGCCCCAAAGAGAACAAAAAATATCATCAGGTCCCTAAACCACAGAGTTTAAATATTATCCTGGACTTTCTTGGTGCTTTGAACTTACCATCATTTGAGCCTTCAAAAGATTTCCAGCTGCCTTTCCATCAGCCATGAAGGCAGGACTGGCTGTCTCTCTCAGTTTTTATTTGGGCAACAGAGAAAAAAATCCAGGGATTTGCAGTGCTTAGAGAAGAGGGACATCAGGGAAAAAAAACTATCCCAAGCCCTGCAGATAGCACCATGGAAGCACTTTCCAGCCGAGGAGCCCGGGTCCGCAGGCAGGAGCAGCACTACTGGCCCGCCACTCACAGGCAGCAGTGGCCAGAGGCATGGGATAGCTGTTATTCCGCTTGAATTTCAGCCTCCAGGGTGCTCATTAAAAAAAGGCTCAAAGTTTCCTACCTCATGTGTCAACAACATGTGGAGAAACACCGTGTAGAGCTCTGCGGGTCTGTTATCTCCTCTCGCTGTTATTAATGGTGTTTTTTTAATCACAGCATTGTCTCCTTTGTCACCGTGCGTTTGTGTCGGAGCCATGTGCGATGCTGAGCCTGCCAAGCCCGGCTCTGGGCAGAGTTCAAGGGGCTGAAGGGAGGGGTCACCGTTATTCCAATCACAAAGGAGTGTTTGGAAGGTCAGACCCGAAATGCCTGAGCCAGCCTGGAACGGAGGAGCCGTGTTCGCACTTGAAAACGCCTTGTCTCTCGTATTTTCCTTTCGCCGTTCCAATCCTCCCCCTGACTGTCAGGCTGCAGCCGTGAATCACTCCTGGGCACGTGGCTAACCCATGAACACTGCAAAATATTTTGATGGAGGGGAACGGGGGTGGGAGCACGAGATAATCCAGCCGATTGTTCCAACCCTTCGAGTCCTGTGCCGAGCCATCGCAGCCTCTGGCATTCGCAAAGGCGTCTGTCCCAGAGCTCCCAGTCACGATGAAAGCTGGGATTTGGTGAACGAGACAAAGGTGTTGATATCACAAGTCAGGGGGGTTGGTATTTCCAGGAGTGAGCAAGGGTTGTGAGTAGAAATAGCTGCCCCAGGTCAAACCCTGGCTGCTCATAGGCTTTGGCTCCTTGCTTCTGCTGTTGGAAGGCTGAGTAGGTCCAGGTGGGAAAAGGGATCCAGAGAAGGGACCTCCTCAGCAGCATTCTCTCCCAAAGCTCCATCTCTCAGGGAGAGGTGGGTCATGTTTTTAACGGCCCTTGTTGTCTCTCCAACAGCTTTACAGAAGCCATGAAGAGCCAGCCAAAGCTGGAAGGCTGGGACTGCCACTGGACCTATTACTCAGGCGTGGCCATCTCGGCTGTGGGGACCTTGTTTGTCATCTCCAGCTTCTTAGCACTGGGATTCACCGGGACATTCCTAGGTAAGCACTAAAAATCCAACAGCTTAGCCAGAAAGTGCATTTAATCCTTGCAGGGATCTCTTGCTAGGGCAGAGTCCTGTAGGAATTCCCTTGTCCTTGCCTTCAGGGCTTTATGATGCAAAGCATGATCTAACCATGCTGTTACCTCACACGGTGCAGTGGTTTTATACAGCAAGTCCCATCACCTTCAGTGTTAAGCTTGAAAGTTTGGAGCAGAGCTGATCGTCCACCAGTCCAAACACCCTCCAGAAAAGGTGCAAGGGCAAGACCCCATGAGCAGCACTGGCACAGTGGGTGTGAACTGTCCAGCAGCCTTGCTCTGAGCACCCACCTGCTTGTCACACGTGCCAAGGCAGGATCTGATTTGCTCTTCCCTCTGCAATAAACCTGAATGTTCGTTGACAGATCCTTTTATCTGCCACTTTATGGCAGAAGGCATTTTCCACTGCGCCTGCTTTCACATTTAGAGAGTAATTCTGTTAGCGTTGTTGGCTTTAAAAACATGCCAGTATGTGTGGAATTCATAAAAATAAAGTAGAGACAGGAACAATAAATATCCAAGGAAAGGGGCAGCTCCCGCTGGCTGAAATAATCACAGCCCCAGCTCTGACACCGCATTTAGGCTGTGCTTTTGCAAGTGCTTTACAAACCAAATTCAATTAGCTCCTGTGGCGTCGCTAGGAAGAAGAGAGGGACGTAATAAGCCTTCCTGGTTTCAAGTGGAGTTGCAAAGAAATGTGTTGAGTTGGCCAAAATCCTGCTGCCAGAAATAGAGCTCAGCACTCCTGAATGCGTCCCCTCACCCTTCATGTGCAGCCCTGTATCACACCCCTGTCCCTCAGCTACCGGGCACCAGCATCCTCCAAAATCACCTGCAGCCTCCCGCAGTGATGCTGTGCCTGTGGAGACATGTCCAGAGAGGCTGGGCACAGGAGCACCCGCCAGCAAGAGCTGCTTGAATGCTCCTGAAGTTCAGCCAGGTCTGGAGTTGTTTACGTAAAGCCTGATTCATCCGACCAGGAGGATCCAGTGGACTTGAACTGCTGGGAGAAAGCAAACAAGTGAGTCAGGCTCAGCGTAAGCCGTGAGAGGGGCCCTGTCCCCTGCCTCTGTGTCCCCCGGGGCAGGGAAGGGATGGGTGTTAGTCGTCCATATGGGGCATTTCTGCTCCACCCACTCTGCCGGGAGGGCTCTCCCTGGAGTGTCCCAGGCTGAGGCTGCCCGGCTCCAAGCCTCACATGAGGCAGCAGGGACCAGCTCCCTCTACCAGCAGTGCATGGCAGGTAACAGGGCAGAGCTGAGTCGGGGTGGGGACTTCACAAGACCACATGCTAGTGCAGCCAGGCTGTTTTGGGACCTCTGCAGTGGGCATGGGCCCAGCTGGAGCCCCATGGAACATCCGTCCTTGGACCAGTAACAGCTTCCTTGTTGAGTCTATGAGTCCAAGTCAGCAAACTCTTAATGGAGAATGCCCCTCAGCGTGGTTTCTTAACCAGCCATGGGGAAGACAAGGAGTTTACAGGTCTCTGAGGATCTCACATGGGATATTCTCTTGCTCAGGACTCACTTGGGACTGTATTTCCAACATCCTCCTGCATGCAGGATTTTAGTGCTGCGCTGGCGCTGCGGGAGGAGCAAGGACTGCAGGTAGCAAAGGGCTGCACTGCTTTGGCAAGAAGGGGCATCCAGCTGCTTCTCACTATTGATAGCTGAGCTCAAGAGAAGTTTTGAGAGAACCTCTGACACACGAACACTTCAAGAATTACCAGAACAGGATTTGACCCTTACTTTTTCACTTTTCCTACACCACCGAAGGCTGAACCAGGGAGGGCACAGGGACCACATCAGGACTACCTGTTAGATTCCCTCTTTACAGCACATTTGAGCTTTGGAGCAGCTGCAGAACACTTTGTCTCTGAAGTGTGTGCTAAACGGTGCAGTGGGAGCCGTGTGAGTCACCCTTCTCCAGCAAGCCTTGCTGTGCCACCCCATCTCCCAAACAGCAGCACCAGCCTCAGCCTCTGTTCGCAACAGCTGGATGCAGGTCTACCTGGCAGATCCATCTCCCGGTGCCCTGTGTCTGTGCCATGCCCATGCTGGGATTTGGGCATCACTTCAGCACCCTCCACCTCGCTGTTTGCCCCGTTTCCCAAAAAAAACAGTGACAAAGACTTGGAAATCCTGAGGCCAAGGGCACAGAGAGTCGGCTCTGCCTGCCTGAGCCCATCTGTTTTGTATCCCAGTTCTATTCCTTCCAGCACTGACCAAGAGTTCAAGTCAATCTGACTTGACCAAAGTCTGTTACTGGTCTTGGAGAAGCTGATGGATCTCCAGAGTGAAGTGGAGGTGGGTTTTCAGCCTAAGTCAGGCTCTAGGGACCATGGGGCACCTTGTAGAATGCACCAAATGGCTTTTTGCTGCTGTGATCCCAAGTGCAGTGAGATGGTTATACAGGTGTCTGGCAGGAAAAAACCCTCCAATTAGCTGCCAAGGTCCCTCAGCTTTACAAGAAGCTGATTCCTGATTTTGGGGCTTAATGGAGGCTCAGGAGATGCTGAGGCTGATGCTGCGCAAAACAACACACAGTCCTTTCCTGTGAACATAAAAACATATAAACCACCTCTCTGGTGGTCATGCTCATTGAACTGTGCAGGTTTAGAGGCAGAGATTACATTGGAAAAACTGCCAGTGTGCTCCTGCTTGTGGGGAGCCTGCCAGGAGGGTCCCACAGCCCCACCAGTGCGGGGCACAGAGAAGCCCCTGCAGTCCCATGGACCCAGGGCTTTGTGTGAACCTCCCCAGTGCCAGTGCCATTTGGGGAGCGAGGTGTTCAGCCCAAAGGCAAGGGCGGGCAGAGGATAATGAAGCATTTTGACACATAAAAAAACACAGAAATGGGCTGTGGCAGGGGGTGATGTGTTCTTTCTACCAGAACAATCTCAGAGATGTATTGCCAAGTAACTGTGAGAACATATAGTATGAATACAAGGCAATTATCTCACTTAGTGGCCTGTAGTTAAAGCCCAAAAGCATTGTGTAATTGGGCAGGGGCTGTTTATCCTTAGAAATAAATGTTTTAGCACCATGTGAGGTCAAAGAAATTACACTGCGATCCAGGTAATAATAATAACCTTGAATAGTTTGCTCTCCTGTAATGCCTTTCATCTAGATTTGCGAGCACTTTCTCACCATACATTAATCCTCACCACCCTCTGTGCTCTAAGAAAGCACTGATATTATGATCGGTGCACAATAGCACCGGGAGGGACGGAGGAGACTTGCCCAAGGTCAGGGAACAGGCTGGCAGCAAAGCTGGGAACACAGCCCAGGGTGGTGGCAGTGCCCTGGGCTGATGGACCGGCACTGCTCCTCACGGATCAATGCTTGTCTTGTACAGGGGACGAGGAACATGGGAGTTGTTACAGTGGATATGGAACATGGACTGAAAGGGCTGTCCAGCCCTGGCACAGGCTGCCCAAGGGCAGTGGTGGAATCATCATCCTCGGAGGGATTTAAAGCACTTGTAGATGTGGTGCTTTGTGGTCTCACTTGTAAGACCAACACAACCAAAGATCTGCATCCTGGCCCTTTACCCCCCACACCACCCGAAATGCTGCTCACGAGCTGCACATCTCCTTGCTGTCATTCCTTTTCCAAGCTCCTTTCGGGAGGGTGGAAGGATCGCTCTGAGGTAGATGGGAAGCTGGTTGGATTCTGACAGTTCTGAAAGCTTTCCTCATTACAGATGACAATCACCTATTATCATCATCATCATCGTGCCAATAATTGAGTGTTTTGTAGGCAGAGGTGCTATTTTCTGAAATTCTGAGAAATTCTCTGAACTGCGAGATGAGGGTGGCACTGGATGAGGGCATTTGGTGGTGGTTGTCGTGATTATAACATCTCCAAACACCATTACAGGGCGCTGGGCTTATTTTCCCATTAAATGGATTTGATCCTATGCACTTACTTCCTCGTCGAGTGGCATCCAACGGGCAGTTTTCAAATGAGAAAACCAGAATTAACCATTTGGGACCTCGAGAGCTGCCTCCTGATGAGGGATGTGGCTGCCATAACCTCCTTCAATGCAGGAACCTTCCTCACAGGCAAAGAGCCATTCCCGGAAAACCTGATAGGCACAGAGTAAGCAGGCGACTTATTTGTTGCTGTTTTCTCAGCCTGGAAGTCAGCAGTGAAACCCCTTTGCTCTGCATCCCTGGCAGGGATGCCCCGTGGCACAGGGAGGGTACCAGTGTTCCAAAGCCTGCCGTGACTCCCAGTTTCATGGAGACCAACCAAAAACTCTCTGTTTGCTCTTAGGTGATTACTTTGGCATCCTGATGGAGGCAAAAGTGACCAGCTTCCCCTTCAACGTCCTGGATAACCCCATGTACTGGGGCAGCACAGCCATCTACCTGGGCTGGTCCCTCATGTGAGTACATGCCCTTACAAACACCTCCCGTTGTAGGGTGAGTGTGGGGTCTGTGTTTGGCAGGGCATGAGGTGCCAGGCTGCACCGGGGGCCGAAGGGGCACTTGATGATGGCAGTCAGCAATTAAATGGCAGGGAAAGTGCAACATGCCCTGACTTCTGGCCTCCTGGCTATTTTTGTGCATGGAAAATCTTGTGCTGTCATAAAAGACTTGCAGCTTTAGTTGTTGAAAAATAAATAGCGGGCAAGTGCTGGGGAGAGGAGGCATCAGCAAATGCTCTGCAGCTGAACGAGTTCCTTGGCAGGCTCTGCACGTGGAAAAATCAACAGTCAGGGCCAAATTCGTGCAGGGTGTCACTCGGCAGGGGCAGGGCATTGATACGGGGAGCAGTGTGACCCTGTAATTACTCTGAAAAAAGCAAAACAAGCCAAGCCACCCTTTTCCCCCACTGCACGGTGATAACACTTCCGAAACACTTCTCATGTGATACAACACAGCTTAATAGCCTGCTTAGGAGGAAATGAATAGGCTGTAATTTAGCAACAAATGAGCAATATACTCTATTCAGTGTAACAAGTTTGATGTGGTTTTCATTTAATATCACATTTTATTTATTTGCCCAGGAGAAAAACACCCGGCTGTGTTACTTCAGGAGCCTGTGGAGTGTTGTGGGCTGTTATCACTAGATATTTTGCACTGGTGCTCCTGACTGTGACCACCTCTCTTCTACTCGGGTGGAAAAAATGAAGTGCTTTGCCACTCTCTAGTCATTTTTTCAGCCATGTGTGCAGCCCTTGGTAATAAGTAAAGCTGATGGTTTTTCTCCTGTCTCCACTGAGCTTGTTGCAGTTCGTTCTGCACTTGAAATCACCCCCGGTGCCATCAGGGCTGGTCGCATGAGGCTGTTTCCCTTCCTGGCAGAGCCACGGCACTGGATGGGGTCTAAATCCTGGGAAATGGTGCACAAGGGCCAGAGCGAGCTCACTGCTGACAGCCCTGGGCAGGATAGTTGGCCACAGGGCTGGCAGCAGCACAATGGGAGCATGGATATTGCTGGGGAGAGTGGGACAGAGCTGGGGCAGGATGACCCACCCCATACCACACCATGACCCCCACAGCAAAGCAGAAGGAGGAATTAGACCAGGAGGAATTACAAGGAGAGTTTTATTTGTTTTAAGATCAGCAACCATCAACTACTTCCTAGAACCTTTGCAGAATCCACAGAACCCTCCTGAGCTGTTTCTGTCGCAGAATCCCTTCTCACCCCTCTCACCAGGTGCACATTGTTTGGTCTTCCACCACAATTCTGGGCAAAAGCAGCTCTAAGCAGCTCGAGACAGCAGTGATTGCCTTCTTTTTCTCGTTAAAGGCTGCCACCATTAAGGCCAGTGAGGCATGACAAATAATTGCTGTTAACAAATTGCTGGAGCTGTGCAAAGTGGCACCAGGACACCGCCTGCCTGCCCAGGGGAAGCTCAGCACAACCCTTCTCACAGTGGTTTTGGCTGTTTCTCTTCCCTGTGATCTCACTTCACAGAATCATGGAATCATTTAGGTTGGAAAAGCATTCTAAGATCATTGAGTCCAACCATTAAGCCAGCACTGGCATGTTCACCACTAAACCATGTCCCCAAGTGCCACATCTACACAGCTTTTAAATCCCTTCAGGGATGATAACTCCATCACTGCCCTGGACAGCCTGTGCCAGGGCTAGCCAGCCCTTTTGGGGAAGAAATTTTTCCTAACATCCAATCTAAACCTCCCCTGGCACAACTTGAGGCCATTTCCCCTTGTCACTTCTTCCGTGGGAGCAAAGACCAACCCCCACCTGGCTCCCCCCTCCTACCAGGGAGTTGCAGAGAGCAAGAAGGTCCCCCCTGAGCCTTCTTTTCTCCAGGCTGAGCCCCCCCAGCTCCCTCAGCTGCTCCTGGTGCTCCAGACCCTTCCCCAGCTCCATTTTCCTTCTCTGGACACCCTCCAGTTGCTGAGGTTTTTTGGGGGAGTCACAGCTCTCTCCTTAGGTCCCAGGGCTTTGCAGAAGTTGTTGGTGTCTGCCCTTGGAAGCCAGAGCTGAAGTCTCAGCTCTGTGGTAGTGGGAGGAATGTGTTTGCCATCTGGTTCTGGTCAGACCTAAAACACAGAGCATGTTTGTTCTCCCTTGGTGATGTATCACACTCCACATCATGGTGTCAGAGCCCAAAGGATTGATTATTTTCATCCATAAGGTCATATAAACACATCACATAAACCAGAGTGCCCTCTGACTTCATTCCAGCCTTAAAAGCATCAGGTGGGGCAACAACCCACTTGCCATGGGGAGCTGCAGCAAGGCTGGGGATGGACAGACTCCCTACCCAAAAAAAAGCCCTGCCAGGACCACAAAACCTTCCTGGCTGATTCATCATTGATGCTGCTACGATGAGTCCTCGCCCAGTATGTAGGTTGAGCTTGTAAGAGGAGAGAAACAGTTCACCCAAATGCTGCTCATCACCTGCATCCAGCAGCCTCATTTCTTCTGCAAGACAAATGGAGCATTCACTGTTTAGGGACAGCTTTGTGTGTCTCTGGTAGAGAAGTGTTCTAACTCACAGCAACAGGCTGCATAAATCAGAGCCGGAGCTGCAGCCAAATGATGCAATTAGAGGTCTTGCTGTCAACAAACAATCATGTAAATTTGTTCTCTCTGATAGGAATCAAGGAGGAGACATGACTAAGCATGTAATAGCAGGGGGTTGGGAGAAGAAGAAGTTGCCCGAAGCTTCCTAATGAGAGAAAAGTTATTGCAAAATGAAAACAGTGAAAAGGTGAAGATTTGTGGGTGCCTCTCCAGGAAGTGATGAGGCCAAGTGGTACCTGAGCAGGGCTCCAGTATGAGGTTTAGGTAGCTCAGTCCCTCTTCTGTAGGCAAGTTTTCCCAGCAGCACGAGTCACAGAATGGTTTGGGTTGGAAGGAACTTTAAACCTCATCTCATTCTCACAGCTCATCTATGTTTCTGTGATACCTGTCTTTAGAGCAGAAGGTGATGGGGATTTTTGGTCCCAAATCTTTGGCCTCGGTGCTAAAAGGCACAGCCATCTCCATTGCATCCACAGTTCTTGATCACCTTTGCCCACAACCAGACAGTGCAGAGCAGTGGATGGCATCGGTCCACTGTGCTGTGCCTGGTGACATCTTGCTGGAGGACACCATTCCACTGGGCCTTGGGAGGTGACAGAACATGTTTCTAAAACATCTTGAAATGGGTTTAGAGGTGAACCAAGCCCCCAGCACCCAGCCCAGATGCAGCACCCACCCCAGCACCTTTCAAAGGGTAGACATGGACCTTCCCATCCCTTTCCATCCCTATCCCTGTGATGGCTCAGCCTCCACTTTGATCTATAGGGTGTCATACACTGCTCTCTCTGCCAAGAGTCCCCTGCACCCTGGGTGGCCCATCTTTCTGGGACATCAGGCACTTCCCTTAGAGCACGGGCTGGGAGCCACAGCCATACTTCAGCAGCTGCTCAGCCCTTAAACATCCCTATAATCTCAGGATTTAGCATCAAAGCAGAAGCTCTTCTAGCAGAGACGTGCAGGGATCAGACTTAAAATAAGTCACCGAAATAGGCTGGGGAAGAGTCTTTGCCAAGTAACATCTGTCTGAGACAGTTAACATTGAGCACAAAAAAAAAAAAAACCAGCCCTTTTGTTTGCTTCTGTTTAATGAGCGAGAGCTCTCATGGAGCCCAGTGTCTCATTTCACTTTCTCAGCCAGGTCTTGCATAAGCCCATGTACTTACCTGATCTTTTCCTTCTCTTTCAAAACAGGCACGCCAGCCCAGCTGGCCTTTTGCTGACAGCTGTAGTGGCAATTTCCTACACAATCGCCATGCTGTATGAGGGGTGAGTAGCTGTGCAGAACTGGAGAGCTTCTAATTATTTCTACCAGCTTTAACTCCCGAGGTTTCGGAGAACTGCACAAGTAGAGATGATTTTTTCCAATTAATTCAGCAGGGGAAGAAAGAAAACAGAGGATTGTTTTTCAATTGTTTTGATAATGGGCAGATTCCACTCTGGAACTATTTGCTGAGTTCTAGGAACATTTGTGCATTTGTTTGTTTTTATCAAAATGAGATCTTTTTTCCTTTCGGATGCCTGATTTTGTCTGTAGAAGAACAATAAGGAAGGCAGTGAGAGGACTCATTGTGTCCTCTGAAGAGTCCCTACAAGAAGTGCTTGCCTTTTGTAGTTCTTTGGATGGGCTTCTCTGATATTTTGCACCACAATAGCCTGGCAGCAGAGAATGGAACAGACTGGAATAATTCCCAGAAGTAGCAGTTGTACTGCAGCAGTGAAAGGTCTGTTGTGTTTGCAAGGGAGGAGAAGATGCAGAGTGGCAAGGTCTGCACGCAGGGGAGTCTGAGTGTGTGCTGAGCCTTGTCCCATGCAGCACAGGGATGGTCCTTGGTGGAAGCAGCTTGTAGCTGCTCCACAATCCAGAGAGACTGAGATGAGGATTGCCATGGCACAGGAATAGTCAGGCTGTGCCAACCAGTGAAGGACAGAGTTTCTGGGTGCACAGTAATCTTGATTTTAATTCTTCCTCCCTTGTTTTGCCCCTCTCTTTTGTCTCTGTCCCCTCTCTCCCCAAATTCCCATCTTCCTAACTACAGGCCTTTCACAGAGGAAATCTACCGGCAGAAACAGAAGGGAGCGAAGAACAAGTAGCCACAGGTACGTTTGCTGATCGGCAGTTTCAGCTGCTTTGCCAGGCTCCCCCACCTACGAGCACCCCTGCCCAGCCCTGCCTTCCCTGGCTCCTCCAGAGCCCTTCCCACACTCCTGAAGGCTTTTGAGCTTCAAACCTCTGCAAAAACCCAGGCAGGAAGGCTTTTCACAGCAGCAGTTTTGTCCGCCTCCTGGCACCCGACCAGCAGCCCCCAAATTGTTTTGATTATACACTTGAGAATCAGTGCGAGGCAAAATTGCGGGGAAGCTTTGAAGCTCCAGGCTTAGTCTGAATCAGGCAGAAAAAAGCAGCTATTGGCCATGGCAGGTGCTCCAGTGAGCGGCAGGGATGGTGTGAGAGGGCACGTGTTCCCTTAGGGAAATCAGGCATCCCTGCTCCAACTGCTCCTTGTCTGAGCCGGGAGCACTTCTGCCCATGGGCTCACCCTAAAAACTCAGCCCAGGCTTGTTTTGGGGGCCAAAGGCTTCTGCAAAAGCGCAAGTTCCTGGCCAGGCTCCTTTCCCTGGGGTTCAGTGGCACCCTGGAACCCCCAGTGCATCTGCCCACTGGTGGTTGGAGAGTTGGGACAATCTCACACCACTGCTCAGGTTTCGGCAGCCCCGTAACTGCCGCTCTGATGGAAATGCTGTGGCACCACTGAGGTCCCTAATGGACTCCTGTCCCTTTGCCTTTTGCAGAGCACTGTCTCAGGTACCTTGTGCCTCTCTGGTCCCCGCGCTGTCAGATTTCCCTGTTTTCCTACTGAGATGTATCCTACTAATTAGCCCAGCAAACCTTTAATGAGCCGACCGAGCTCCCTGCAGCACTGGAAGTGATCAGAGGAACAGCCCGAGCGTGGTGGCATCTCTTCACCACAGCCCACGGGAGATGGAGGTCCCTGTCCCCAGGTCTCTGTCCCCAACTCCGGGTCACTGCAGCTCCTGATGCTCTCACAGGAATTACACAGTGTGGGACCTCCTGACCTCTACTCCCCCAGCGATTGTTGGAGATCTTCAGGGGAAAAAGCAATTCCCTCTGGACTGGAGGGGCATTTCACAAGTGAGCTCTGAGCATGGGGAAGCACCGGCTCCAGCTGTTCCTGAAGATCATCTGAAGATGCTGCCAAAGAGCCATGGGAAGCAGACAAAAGCTCAGATGAAGCAACAGAGAGGGTTCAGGAGCCCCTGAGGATTCAAACAGAGCTGGGGAAGGAAGAGGGGAAACTGCTGCAAACTCAACAACAGCAAAACATGCTGCAAACCCAACAACAAACCCTCTCTTTTTTGGAAGAGGGAACCTCCCCATCCAGAACTGCAGTTTCCACTTTGCAGAGGTCTCCTGCCACGGAGAGCCCTGCAGTGTCTCTGCACAATTGCAAAGACTCAGAGAAAGGTGACTGAAAAGCACAGAGATGTGAATGTATGACCCAACCCACTGCCCAAGGGGGGCGGAGGGATGGCAGCTGTCCCGTGGGGAAACCCTAGCATGGAGAAGACCCAGGGGAAGAGTCAATCCCTGTCTGCACCCTGCAGATGTCTCACCCCTGGCCCTGTTGATGCCCCTGTTGATCCTCCACACTCACCTGGTCCCTCCTTTTTCCTTAGGGGCCACATGAGGGTCCTTCTGCTTTCCCCAGCACCCAGTGCCTTCCAGCTGTTTTTCACTGCCTTGCAGGGACAGTGGGTGGGAGGGAGAGAAAGGGCTGCTTCTGCCTTCCACACCATGCAGCAGCCAGGTACAGATCTGCCCCTCCGCCCCTGCCACCAGCCTCAACAAGTCCCAGAACTGCCCAGTGCTGGATCCTGCCTTGAACAGAAAGACGATGCTCCAGAGCCAGGCTCTGTGTTTACAGATTCCCAGAACAGTTTGAGAAATAAACTGTAAATGACCAAACAAGCAGCAATGGCGTTGGAGAAGGAGCTGCTCCCGCACGGGCACCGGGATGTGGTGCCACATCTCAGCATCACAAAGTCCTCTCCATGGAGGGTCCTTCCTCTTCCCAGTGCCACCTCCACCAAACGGTTCCATTTCCTTTTGCTTTTGCATGTTGTAATTCACCCTCCAGGCATTGCTCAGCAGGAATTAAAAGTGTTGGTCTCTTTTCAATCCGGCCTCCCATTTCCTCTGGACAGGCTCACGGACGCCTTGTTTGTGTTTCATCATTTTAGGGCCATTACACATAGATTTATTTTTTTATTGCCACCTCAACAACCTTCCTCTTAAAGATTTGGGCATAGTATTTTATTTTTAGATAAGTTTCCACATCCCCTTCACAGTTAATGTTTATAGACAGAGGCTAAACCAGCCCAGTACCCATAGCAACCAGTGAGGAGAGGATACATTGCATTATTCAGACAGTTTATGTCAGAGTTGCCAGTCCTGGCTCAAAGTCTCTGATGTCAATAAACTTGGATTTGTTGATAAGTGTAATCAGTATTTACCAGAGAGACACGTGCTGGGTCGGGAAGAATTATCCTTCATGAGAAGACAGCGAGGGCCGTATTTGTGCCGTCTCATTCCCCGTCTGGGGACCTTGTGCGCCCTTTCCTGTCCCCACTCCAAGGCCAAGGGGGGACCCCAGTTGTACCATTCCCTTCCCCAGCCAGCATCACCCTCTTAAAATGTGCGTCTGTCACCATAAATCCCAGTGATGGAGCTGCTTCCCATCCTGTGCCCACAGCATCCCAAAAACACGGGGGTTTGGTGCTGCACAGGGACCAGCTTCACAGACTCCTTTCCCATTGATCTGCCATTTCCAACCCTTCCCACTTCCCAGCTGTTCTGTGTTGGCTTTGCATTGCACAAGTGTTTTTCTGGGGTTATGCCAGATGCATCCCTGCTTTTAGTAGCTCTTCCTGCAGCAGCCAGCACGGATTAATGTGTCGCTGCCTTTGTAGAACTGGTTCTGGCTGCCACAAAGCTGGAGTCTGATATTTTAGAGGCATCTGCTCTCTTCCCTAAAGCAATCTGAGGAGCTGGAAGGTGATGTTCTAGCCCATATCATGGGGCCCAAGCCCACCTTTCTCCCTTGGGCAGGGAATGGCCCTGGCCAGGACCAGTCCTGGGTGGTGCCGTGCTGGTCCCCAGGGCTGCAAGGAGGGAAACACAGACCATCGTTTATGCTGGTTACAGGGAAAAAATTGTGATTCCAATTACCTAATATTTCTAAGAATTTGAGATTCCAGAAGGAGGGGATGAAACCTTCAGGCTGAGCATGAAGCATTGGTATTGTCGCAGACGTTTCCCCACTTCCCAGCTGCAGCTGGGGCATATTCTGCATTGATGCAGGGATGGACCTTGGGGCCTCCAGGTCAGAATATGAGTCCTGCTGCTTCCAAAGGAGAGACCTGCACTGTGGGACCCCCAGGACCAGCTGGTTGCAGCCTCAGCTCTGTGCTGGCACAGGCAGGTGCATCCCTCCAGCTCTTGCAGAAGCATCGAGGACCAAATGAGGTCTCTGGAAAGGGGGTCATGGAGCTATTTTCATAACTTCATGCCTTCAAAATACAGTGTGGGGCTTGCTGGGCCCACTGGAGGTTGGCAGGCGGGTTGTTTGCAGCCTTGGGAATTGCTTCACATGAGATTGTGTGCTGACGCCACAGATAACGCTTCCATTGAAGTTTGGGATATTTCTGCAGAGCAAACACCAGAAAAGGAGAAACTAGTTAAATCACAACTACCTGGCAGGGACAGCTGCATCACCAAGGTCATTGCTCTTCACTGCCTCAGGTCACTCTGTGTCACTGCACAGCCCCCACAGCAGCTGTGCCCACCCTCGTGGAGGTTTCCTCCCCAGGGTCACTTGTGTGGCTCCTCCACACGCATCTCCCTTCCACGAAACAATTTTTTGGGGATGAGGAGATCACCTGTACAAACCCAAACATCCCAGCAATGAAGGGCCAGCTCCAAACTCACAGGATGCTTCATCCAGAAACACTTTGGGAGATGGAGTCTGCATCCTGTGGTCCTTTCCCTGATGGTGGTGACATCCAGGACCAAGGACACGTTCCCAAAGGCCCCTCCCTCTGTTGTGACCGCCCATAACCCTGTGTTTGCTTTTGCCCAGTGAAGCTGTGCTGCCTTGCCCCGGGGGAGGGACAGCCAGGGGCCCTTACGTGGTGGCAAACAACCACAGGAATAAACACGTGGCGCAATCGGGGCAGCACGTGTGGCAGGATGGGGAGTTTGCCATCCCCACAGGGCTCCTGCTTGCTGAGGCTGCACTTTTGCTATTTGGGAAGATGGAAGGGAAGGAAATGGGGGTCTCAGGGCTCTGGTGGTGGCTCTCACACCCATCCAAGTGCTGAGGCTCAACCTCGGCTCTTGTGCCCACAGTTGGGATTTGATGTAAAAGCAAAGATGAGCTTGGAGTACAGGTGGTACAGGAACAGTTTGGGCACTTAATCCCTTAATCCAGAGAAGATGGACAGGGGACACAATGGGACTTAGATTTACAGGGGAATATTCAGCCTCTTCTATCCCCGCTTATAGGGAAAACAATATAGGCTTTAAATGGTCACAAAGAAATGCAATGGGAAGAACAGCCTGGTAGGAAACTATTCCCAGGTGGGAATCTGTTTCTGAGTGGGAAACATCCAGAGCTGGAGCCCAAACAAATGTCTGGGGCAGAACCAGGATCCCGGGGCAGAGTTGCATAGGCAGTGCTGGCAGGCTTCTGCCCAGGGATCTGGGATACAGCCAGTTCCCAACTCATGGGTGCCCAGGAGATGCTTTGAAATTCCCCACAGTGCCAGGAGAGCAGCAGCACCCCATTCCCACTGTCCCCCTGCCCGTGGCATCACCCTGCCAGGGACAGTGTGGAGAAGACACCATCCAGCCCATCCCAGCCCACCTCCACCCTCACCCCGGGGGCTGTTACGCACGGAGCTCCCGCCATGAGCCAGAGGACAAGTTACGAGGCTGTTTTCCTTAATCTTCACGCTCAACAGCGGCCCTGGGACAGCCCGGTGAGCTGGACACGCTGTGCTGCATCCTCCTTGGATCCTATTTCAAAGGAAAAAATGGTAGGAATGTGCTGCTTTTTCCATGTTGCGTTGTCTTCGGAGAGGAGCTGTTTACGGAGCGAGGCTCCTTTCCCAGTCAGGGTCGCAGGAGGTCGCAGGGCTGCCAGAGCCCCGGGAAGATGTCGAGGCCAGGCTCTGCCTGCGGTTCTGTGCTGCTGCACCAGGGCTGGGAGCCTCGAGGGTCCTCTATTTGGGCACCAGCTCAACCCTCGCCCAGCCCAATCCCCCCAACACCTCCACCCCTGTGCCCGCAGCCCCTCTGGACCCACAGACGGAGCAGCAGGAGCAGACGTGGGACCTGAACAGAAAACACCTCCAGGCTCCAAGCCCTCCCTACCACTACCCATCCCTCTGCCAGCTCCAGCCCAGTGATGCCTGCCTGGCTCCCTGCCTCCTCTTGGGCTTTAGTTTTTGTCCTACAACCCTGGCAGCCATCACTATTTCCATGGGAACCTTCCTGAAATCCAGCAATGTGTCCGCTGGGGTCACTGAGCCTCCCTCTCCCCTGTGCCTTATATTCCAAGCCCAGTTTCTGCCCATCTCCAGTTACAGGTGACATTTCTCTCTAATCCCAGGGAAGCTGCTGCTCTTTGGAAAGGAGCAGAAAGTGCCAGAGTTTGGGAACACATCCAGGACACGCAGACACCTTTGTCCATGCAGGATGCTGGCAGGATGCTGCTGCATCCAAGTGAACTGTGGGCATGAGGATGGCATGGAGGATGGAAACTGGGAGCAGGGGATTTCCAGGGTGCTCCTGGCTCGGAGCTGCATCGTGCTGGACACAGGGATGGCGTCTCTGAGGGAGCTCTTGCCACCCCTTGTCTGAATGACTCAAGGAGCTGGGGATTTGAGACATGTCTCAGGCTTTTCAAATTCTCTGTTAATCAAATCCCAAAAGCTAAAAGTAATCAAGAGACATGAAAAGTGTTGCTTAAGAAGCAGGGAGTGGGGGAAGGAAACAAATAAAGCCACCCCCCTGGTCCCCAGTGACAGAGCAGCCCACTTCTGCATCATATCTCATCTGGGAAAAATTATATGTTGGGAATTACGTGCTTCTTCTGAAAAGCCTTAAAGGAGATTTAATAAAATGAGACAAGCTAATAATATAGGGAATTAATAGCAACCCTGGATGCTGCATCTTGATTTAATCAGATGCTTTTCCCCAGGGGGACAGGCAAAAGCTATGGCTAAAGCCTCCCTTCCCTTCCCTACCCAGCTGCTCCCCTCTTTCACTGGCTATCCACTCCTTCTCCTATCCCAGGAGAACAGCAAGGGTAGGATTTGGGGTCCCACAAGACCCCGCTGTCCACCAGCAGCTGCTGGGAAACACAGCCCACGCTGGTTCTTTGGGAGCAGGATAAGGAGACAGATGCCAGCCTGCTGCACACCCACCAGGGAGAGGGTCCCTGTCTGAAGAACAGGTCCCCGTGCTGGGGAAGAAAAGCAGGAATTGGGGAGCTGGGCTGAGGAGTGGACTTGGTTCCATGTGTGTACTTTCTCAGGAGCCAGGGAATGCCGCACGCTGCTGCGTC